CCACCTTTAAAGGCGTTTTTCGCTGTGCGACCAACGATGCGATTTTGAGTAAATTTTCGGCCGCAACGTGCATTGATTTCGGACGAGAGTAATAACGGGGCCAACGAATTTTAGATAAAATACCGATAAACGGGGGGGGGGGGGGGGAAATTTTGGGATTTTCAGCGAGGAAAATAAGCACGGAAAGTTGAATTTAGAATGAGCAAAAATTTCGAAATCAAAGTACAGTAGTCCTCTTACAGGAACATTCATAATTTTTAAAAATGGATTCGCATTTGTTTTTTCTTTTGCAAAGAAAAAACAAATCGACATTGAATTAACTTGAAAAATCCGTAAAAGCTAGAAATTCTCTTTTTTTCAAGCAATTTTCGACAAATTTCGAAAAATTGAAGCATTTTTAAGCATGCGCCTTTAAATTTCTACAGTAACCCACAAAGCCGATTTCCCTCGATTTTCCCTCATTTTCAACCGATTTTCTTCGTTTTTCATGCATTTTTAACCAAAAAATTAAATAAATTCCAAATTTTCGTCGTAAATTACATATTTTCCAGCGAAAACTCTAGTATTTTCCCATTTTAAAGCCTATTGTGATTTTCGCTTCATTTCCCCTCATTCCGGCTCATTTTCGCTGGTTTTCTCGCGATTTCCTGCTAAAACTGCCATTTTTCAGCTAAAAATGCCCAAAAAAAGCTTCTTAATCAAAAAATTATTCGAAAATGTCGAAAAAATGGAAATAGACACCGAAATGTGTGGAGACGTCGAGGATCATCTAGGGATGTCGTGGTAGGGCCGAAAATCGATATTTTCGAAAAATCGATATTTAAGAATTCAAATTTTTTAGGCCAAAAAAATTTTTTCAGGAAAATCCGCTTGCTTCGAAAAGACCAAAAACTCAAGGTCTATCTGGATTGTCTGGAAAAAATCGATAATCCGGAATCGCTGATTTCCACAGGCGGGAAATTCAAATTCAACGGAAAGGAGCAAATCTTTTTTCATGATTTTACGAAAATCGAAAATTCGAAATTGGCAATTTTAGAATATTGGTCGCAGAATTCGAATTATCTGAAAAATGGAAGTGCTGAAATTGAATTTCTCGTAGAAATCGATACGGAAAAATCGATTGGTATCAAAATTGGAAAAGAAAAATCGAGAATTTTCGATGATGACGTGGCAAAAGAGGTTTCAGATGTCGTTCTGACGATTGCTCAGCGTAAATTCTATGTGTCGAAGTTGACACTAGCATCACAATCGACATATTTTAAAACGTTGTTTTTGGGAAAATTCGTCGAATCCGAAAAATCGATAATCGAGTTGAAGGATATCGATCCGCACGAATTTCAGATTTTTCTGGAATTTTTGTATGGAGAATCGGTTTTGAATGGTAAAATAAAATTTTGAAAAAAAAAAAAATTTTTTTTCAAAATTTCCAGACGAAACCGTCGACGAAATTCTGAAACTAGCGGACATGTACGATGTGAAAACCGCAAATCGCCAATGCGAAAAATTTCTCCTCGCCGATTCCAAAAAATCGATAAAAGACAAGCTCACAGCTGCCGCAATGTATAATTTGGAGAATTTAAAGGTGATGAAATGATGCAATATCACTCTAATGCTAATTTTCTCCAATTTTTTTAGGCTGTCTGTCTGTCTGAAATCAAAACAGTGTCCGATCTCCGCTCGATTGTTCCAGAAGAATCCAGCCAATTCGATACGGATGTCTGGATGAATCTCTTCCTTAAATTGTTGTCTTTTTCCAAATAATTTGTAATTTTGCTATAAATTTGAATAAATGTTGACATTTTCATAATTTTCAGCCAAAGATTCCCGAAAAAAACGAGAAAAATCCGGCTGAAAATGAGCGCCCATTAGTTACTGTAGAACATTAAAGGCGCATGCTCAATTGTCACCATTTTTTTCACGCTCCTTTAAACGGCTACAGTAACCCACAAAGAAGTTTTCAAGACGATTTCGCCAATTTCAGAATTTTGGAAACAGAGAAATCTAAAACATTAGAAGGTTTTTTTTTCGATTATGTTTATCTGTGTACCTTAAACTGTCTTTTTTTTCAGAATATTTGCGAAAACACATATGGCACATGTATTTAATTCAAGATCTTCAAGTTTCGACTCCTTTTCATTTAACAACTTTTTTTGGAAATGAAGTTTTTTTAAAAATTTCTACAACTTTTGATTTCAACACCCTTTTTTTCGAATATTCTGAATACATTCTGAAATAATAATATTTTATTGTCAATTCTATTATTTCCAGCAGATTCGAATTTAATCTATCTTTTACATCATTCTTGGAATCGAATTTAAATGTTGTACATTTCGATTGTTTGTCTTCCTTTTTGTAATAAAAAATATCAGTTTTTCTTATCATTTGACTGTTTACACCTCTCTTGCTAGCTCTCAATTTTTTTCATCATCATTTTTCCCTTTTTATGTACCTTTAAATTATTTACATTTGCTTTCACAGGTGGATCGCGAGGAACGTTATATGGGATCGTGCGATGTTGTATATGCTCGAAATACGAAACATATGTGGGCGCATTGTGCGAGCATATTGTCTATTCAATAAAACGTGCCCGGAGGAGTTGAATGTACCCTAACTGTTGAACCATCTCAATATCGTCACGGAGGTAATAGAGTCCAATACCTACAGTCCAAAAATGAAACCCAGTCAAAAATACTCACTTTAATAGTTTCCTGCCTTATTGGACGACAGTTTCGGAAGTTCTTCCTTGCTCTTATTTTCCTTTCGTTGTCTGGAAATATACGGTTTTAACAGTACGAGGAAAACCAAAAAAAACTCACATTTCAAACAAAAAGCACTTTTCACAGGGGGTTGTGGCACGTTGCCAGATTCACTACGGCTTTCGCTTAACTGCTTGGATCGGGGGGC